CTCCTCATTCTCTTCCTCCTCCCTCTCCTTTTCCTCTGTCGTTTCCTTCCCTCCTCTTCGACCTCTCCTCCTCCTCCTCCTCCTCCTCCTCCTCCTCCTCCTCCTCCTCCTCCTCCTCCTCCTCCTCCTCCTCCTCCTCCTCCTCCTCCTCTTCCGTCCCATCCCTTACACATAACTTCTACCCGTCGCACCCCGAGGCCAGTTTCAGGGCGGGCCGGGTGTTTTTTTCTTGAGACGTCCTCGCCATTTATGGCTCTGAGGTTCAATACGTTGGCAATATGTTCACAAATGGAGGGCGGGTCGTTTTCAAAATGTGGCTCTCGCCGTAGCGCCGCGCACATTCGCTTTGAAAAACGGGCCCCGCGTTCCTCCTCCTCCTCCTCCCTCCTCCTCCTCCTCCTCCTCCTCTTCTTCCTCCTCCTCCTCCTCCTCCTCCTCCTCCTCCTCCTCCTCCTCCTCGTCCTCCTCCCATCCTTTGCCTCTGCCCTCCGCACGTCCACCATGTCGGCACACCCCTCACACGCTTCGTGGCCCCATAGGGAGCTCCACCGAAGGACCCAGTGGCACCGCCCGCATGCGTTGTCCACCACCCAGCACAGCGCCTCATCGCCCCACAGGGGGCTCAACCGAATTCCCCAGTGGCACCGCCCACATGCGTCAGCCTACCCCTGTACAGCGTTTCGTGACCCCACAAGGGAGCTCCACCGAAGGTCCCAGTGGGACCGCCAGCATGCGTCAGCCACCACCCAGCACAGCGCTTCGTGGCCCAATACGGGGCTCCACCGAAGGCCCCAGTGGCACCGCCCGCATGCGTCAGCCACCACCCAGCACAGCGCTGCGTGGCCCCATAGGGGGCTACACTGTAGGCCCCAGTGGCACCGCCCGCATGCGTCAGCCATCACCCACTACAACGCTTCGTGGCCCCACAGGGAGCTCCACCGAAGTCCTCAGTGGGACCGCCCGCATGCGTCAGCCACCACCCAGCACAGCGCTTCGTGGCCCCACAGGGAACTCCGCCGAATGCCCCACTGGCACCGCCCGCATGCGTCAGCCACCGCCCAGTACAGCGTTTCGTGGCCCCGAAGGGAACTCCACAAAAAGACTCCACTGGCACCGCCCGCATGCGCAAGCCACCACCTAGTATAGCGCTTCGTGGGTCCACGGGGAGGTCCACCGAAGGCCTCAGTGGCACCGCCCGCATGCGTCAGCCACCACCCAGCACAGCGCTTCGTTGCCCCATAGGGAACTCCCCCGATGGTCCCAGTGAAGCAGCCCGCATGCGTCAGCCACCACCCAGTACAGCGTTTCGTGGCCCCGTAGGGAGCTCCACAAAAGACCCTAGTGGCACCGCCCGCATGCGTCGTCCACCACCCAGAATTGCATCTCGCGACCCCAGTGATTAGGAGCTCCACCGAAGCCCCAAATGGGACCGCACGCATGCGCCAACCACCACCCAGCACAGCGCTTCGTGGCCCCGCAAGGGGGCTCCAGTTGTCCGCCCGCATGCGACCCCCCCCCACCCGGTACGGCGCTTCGTGGGCCCATAAGGATCTCTGCCAGAGGCCCCATTGGCACCGCCCGCATGCTCCAACCACCACCCAGCACAGCGCTTCGTAGCCCCGTAAGGGGGCTCCAGTTGTCCGCCCGCATGCGACTTCCCCCCACCCGGTACGGCGCTTCGTGGGCCCATAAGGATCTCCGCCAAAGGCCCCATTGGCACCGCCCGCATGCGCCAGCCACCACCCAGTACAGCGCTTCGTGGCCCCATAGGGAGTTCAACCGAAGCCCCCCCTGGCACCGCCTGCATGAATCGGCCACCACCCAGTACAGAGTTTCGTGACCCCACAGGGAGCTTCACAGACAGACCCCAGCGGCAGCGCCCGCATGTGTCTGTCTCCCCCAGCCACTACAGCGTTTTGTGGCCTCTTCGGGAGCTCCAGCGAGGGGCACCGCCCGCATGCGTCCGCCACACCCAGTACAGCGCTTCTTGGCCCATAGGGAGCCCCACCGAAGGCCCCAGTGGCACCGCCCGCATGCGCCCCCCCCCCCCCACTCAGTACGACACGTCGTTCACGCGTTTCGTGGCCCCACAGGGGGCCCGCGTTATTAACAACTGCATATGGTTGGGCTCTTCGCCTGGACATTTTGTTGCAAGGGTTTTGCGGATTGAGGGCGGCCCGTTTTCAAAGCGTGGTTATCGATTTCGCACCGCGTACATCCGTTAAACCATGTGCAACGGTTTCACGAATTGAGCGCGTTTCTTTTTCAACATGTGGCCTTCGCCTCAGCGCCGGGTACTCTCGCTTTTAACAGTTGCAAGAGTTTCACAAATTCCCATGATCAGCGTACCAGAAGTAGTGATTTGGAAAGGGTTCAGGATTATGGGGGTGTAACAGTTACATGGATTCGCGGTGTCGAAGTCCCAGGAATAACGTTCTGGCATGACTCAGGATCGCCAACACGCAACAGTCAGGTTGATCCGTGGCGTTGGACTCCCGAGAAAATTGTTTTGGCATGTTGCAGGGTCTTCAAACTGCTGTCTTCCAGTGAGGCAGTTCCCTCAGTGGAAATGAACCCTCGAAGGGGCCTATGAAGAGGGAGCGTGGAGGGAAGGTGTATTCCAACATCGTTGGTCATTCTTGGGTTTGCACTGGTCTCCTCCTCCGCCACCTTGTTTTTTTCACAATCTTGTAAAGGGAAAGTGAAGTGTCACCAAACTGGGCCTCTAGCCCCCGAGTTGCAACAAAAAAAGGCTCCCGCTTGATACGCCCTCACACGTTAACTTCCCAACTCGCGCTTTCGCCCGGGAGGCCCTCACCGCGTATGCAGGGAACGCGCTCTCGCGCGGGACTTCCTCCCAATGTATGCAGACACCGCGCCCTCGGCACTCAGGAATCACGCTCTCGCTGTGAAATGGTTGCACGATTTATTTGGGAATCGCGCTATCGTTCGAGACTCCCCCGCGATTCACTCAGGGCGCACGCTTCAGCAACCCGCCTGCTCGACCTGGTCGCCTGGGCCCGCCTTCCCGACCCGCCCGTTGGGGTCTAACTGCTTGGTCTGCCCGTCTGATTCGGCCACGTGGTTTCTGCGTTTTGCCCCCCTCCTGCTATTTTCTCTCGTGCTCCATCCTGCTCCCGCCCCCTGGCCCCCTCCTTCCATCCGTCACCACTGTTCCTGCCTTGAGGGCTGCACGACATACGCGTTGCAGGTCAGAAAGATGTACCCCATAGATGGGACGATCGAAGACGAAGAGGGCGGGCATCGAGGGTTTGGGATATACGTGTTGAATGGCTCGCAGGCAGATGCGAGCGAACAGTATTAGCATCATTGATGTTGTTGATGGTGGTGGTGCTGTTGTTGGTGGTGTTGTTGGTGGTATTGTTAGTGGTGTTGTTAGTGTTGTTGGTGTTGTTGTTGTTGTTGTTGTTGTTGTTGGTGTTGTTGTTGTTGTTGTGGTTGTGGTTGTGGTTGTGGTTGTTGTTGTGGTTGTGGCTGTGGCTGTGGCTGTGGTTGTGGTTGTGGTTGTGGTTGTGGTTGTGAGTGTGGTTATTGATGTTGGTCTCTCTCTCCTCTCTCTCTTTCTATATTTCTTTCTGAGTCTTCCTCGTGGGAGCGGCGGTCTACCATTTCGGCTGGCTGAAAGAGAAGGGGACCGACTCGCGCAGGTGCGAGGAGTTCAGGCTCGATCGCCCCTCTCGCGAAGATGGGCGCAGCGTGGCGATGTACGGGGACGAGGGCAAGCAGGGGAGAAGTGGATGGAGAGCGGTGGGAGGAGGAGGAGGCGGGTGACAAAGGGGAGGGGGAGGAGGATGGGAAGACGGAGGAATAGGAGGACGAGGAGGAGGACGATGAGGAGGAGGAGGACGAGGAGGAACACGAAGAAGAGCAGGAGGAGGAGAATCAGGATGAGGAGGACTGGGATGGCGGAGGGGGAGGAGGAGGAGGAGGAGGAGGAGGAGGAGGAGGAGGAGGAGGAAGGTGCGGGCCCGAGCCGCTGGGGAGATCGGCCTGCGCCCCTGCGTGGTCCAGGACGCCCGCGACACGAGAGCCCGTCCACCTGGATTTGCACCATCGCCACTTCCAGGGACACGGTCATCGTGGCGTGTTCTTTTCATTCGTGTGCGCATGCAGCTGTTCCATCTCGCTGAGCTTGCAATTGCCTTGGTTGCGACGGTGGGGGGGAAGGCATTACAGCTGGACCCGGGCCAGACCTAATAGGATCCCATCGGAGCTGGATCTAGCCCTTATGCGGTGTCATTCGAGATGCATCGAGCCCGAGCAGGGTTGCATGAATCCTTGATCGAGCCGTACATGGATCCTGTTCGAGCTGCATCCATATCATAGTGAGGTTTGGTCCGACTTGTATCGAACAGTCGTTGGACTCTATTAGCGCCGGATCCAGCCCATCGTTGGATTCTATTACATGTAAATCGAGGCCCAGTAGGATTCTAGTAGAGTCGGTTCCAGCCTTAGTGGCAAGATCGAGCTGGACCGAGTCTGTGTAGGAGGTCATTGGAGCTGGATCCAGCCCCAGTAGGGTTCTATCAAAGCTTGATCGAACCATGGTAGGATTCGATTACAGTTGGACCCAGCCCTAGGGGCAGGCGATTAGAGCTGGTTCGACCCCCACCCCCGCCCGGGTTCCCGGGGAGGGGGGGGAGTCCGAGTCAAGCGACGGTAGATCGCGCTCCCTCAAAGTTTTCGAAGCTTCCTCCGAAGACAGGGACGGCCTTTCAGAGGCCGTGCCGCCCTCCGAGAAGGTCTGCCCCCTCTCACTTGCCCTCTGGGCTCGCCGCCAAGGGGTGTGGAGGGTCGCCTATGCATCGGAGATGCATCGGCGATGCATCGAGGGAGGAGGAGAGAGGGGAGAGGAGGAGGAGGAGGAGGAGGAGGAGGAGGAGGAGGAGGAGGAGGAGGAGGAGGAGGGAAGAGAGAAGAGAGGTGAGGAGGAAGGAGGAGGAAGGAGGAGAGACGAGGAGGGAGAAGGGAGAATCTTG